GGGCAATGAAGCAAAGCATACCGAGCATCCTGGCGTATGAGGAGAGATGGAACAAGGTGAAAAGGAGGCCAAACACACGAGACCAAAAACGAAACAGTCTCGGGCATGACCACCAGATATGGCAATACATCTCCACGATGGCCACAACCCCAAAACATTGATCACTACAGGCAGGGTTAGCCTGGGCCAACCGAGCCGGAACCCAGTAACCAACGAAACAATACCTTATAGGCTGCCTCCAGGGTGGTCCGTATTAAATGAGCATTTAGGTATGAGTGACCAGGCCTTATTCCAGTCCTCCGAACCACAGCCACTCCCAGAATCGCACTTCCATGAAACAACATATGAAAGAGAAGTATGCGACGAGCGTCTGTTCAAAGCTGCAGAAAGAAGGGATATAAGGCCCGGAGCGCCCGGACGCTGTTGGCAAAGCTGTTCAAAGGCAGATTTTGGTACAGTAAAGCAGAAGTGCCCCGCAGCAAAAGCAGCCAGTGTCGCAATTGAAGATATCGAAAGAATTCTGCCCGGGGGATATTCCGGGATTCCCGAAGAGAGTTCCAGGTGGAAAAGGACCGAAAAATCAAAAGTGCCGCCCTGCGAAAAACCATTAGTCACCCACCAAGAAACGCCCCTGGGTGATCTAAACCCGGAGGGAAAAGAGGGGTTGTTAATAATTGGGAGCAAAAGGCAGAAAAGGTGACATCAGGCCACCAGAGTAACGTACCGAGTCCCGGACTTGTAAGCCATGAAGTAACATTGGACTCAGTGCCATAGGGCGCAGGGCAGGGGAAGCCATAGAAGCGTTGACAGTGCGATAAGGGCACAATTAGGTAGTTTCAACAGGACACAGGGGGGACGTCAGAAGAGGCGTTGCAACATAGACAGCGGGGCAATCTGGCTCGCCTGATAATACTTAGTTACATTAGGCACCCCAAGACCGACCCTGAAGTCTATGGGCAAAAGCGTATTTTTGGATACTCTGGGGTGCTTATCGGCCCAGATAAAAAGCATTAACTTCGCCTGAAGCAACCAAAGAAAATGAGGGGGAACCCGCAACGGGGAGTGTGCGAAAATAATACAAACAATTTCGGCAAGATGGTCATTTTCACCGAATAACCCGTCCTATCCAAGACAGGTGCGGAAATTGCCAAGAATGCATAAGAGAGGATAGAGAGCTAAGCAATGGATAATAATTCGCAGCAAACAAGGAGTCATAAGTGGGGGTCAAGCGAATGTCCTAAGTATTCAAGAGAAGAGGAAGCCCATTTGTAAGGGAAGTGGAATTGTAGGCGCGAAACCTAAATCTGAAGCCAAAGTAATATTGAGGGCGACAGTCTTATCCAAGTTGATACGGAGACCCCGAAATCAAGGAGAAGCGCTCAAGAACCTGTTGCAAATTAGGAAGCGTTGTCAGGGGGTTAGTAAGAGTCAGGAGGGCATCGTCCGCAAAAAGGTTCAGTTTGAACTCCTGTCCCGCGTAAGGAACCCCCCGATACATTGCAATCGGTCCGAAGCGCTAAAGCCAGCGGCTCAAGCGCCAGGACCAAAGAGCTCTGGGGACAGGGGCAACCCTGTCTCGTCCCTCGCCCAATAGGAAAGGGATCTGTAAAATACCCAGCGTATTTAACGGAGGCCGAAGGAGAAAAATACAAGGCCTGAATCCAAGAAGAATAGAATCCCAAAAAACCCCAACGAGACAGCACAAATCGCAGATATTCCCAGGATAGAGAATCAAAGGCTTTATATATGTCTAAAGACAGTAAGAATCCTGCGATTTTCCGCTGTTGCAGAAAATGTATAAGATGGACCACCTTACGACGAACGTTATCACCCGCCCTGCCTCCCGGGGACGAACCCTACTTGGTCCCTGTGGACCAGGCTACGCAAATATTTATTGATGTGAAAACTAAGGATCTTGCCCAATATCTTCAGGTCTTCATTAAGAAGAGAAATGGGCCGGAAGGCTTGCGGTTCCTGTACATCATCGGTCGTCTTAGGAATCATGGCGATATGCGCTCTAAGCGCATCTGGAGAGGGCAAGGAGCCCTGTCGTAACGCATTAAAATAGTCAGCCAAAAAGGGCGCCAACAAGGCTGAGAATTTCTTATAATAAAGACCGGAAAAGCCGTCGGGACCTGGGGCCGCGGTGGACCATAAAGATTTGATAGCTTTGGAGCACTTCTGGTACAGTGACACCGACGTTGAGTGCCACCTGTGCTGCCTCGGATAACCCAGGAAGTCGGAGATCTTGAAAGAAAATGCCTTTGCTTGAGCCACGGAGAAGGGATCTGGTTTTAGCGTACAGGCGCGAAAGGAAGTCTGAGAAACGGGAAACTATTCTGCTGGGGATTAGAAGTACAGCCACCTGTAGGAAGTCGCAGTCGAATCGGTTTATGGGGTTTCCCACAGAATTGAGTTTCCTGGCCAGCATCGGGCCCGGCTTATTAGCACAGGAATAAATTTGTGTTTGGTCCAACGCAGGGCCCGTTCCGCCTCCGAAGAGGCAAGTAGGTCCAACTCTGCCGCCTGAGCGTCCCGAGCGCGTTTATGGGGCGGCGGGTGGAGATAACTTCCAACGCGCAATCTGCAGAGGCCAGGAGAGAATGAAGCTCCAAAAGTCAGCGCTCCCGCTTCCGTACCGCCGCCAGCTGTATAACATGACCCCGCACCGTGGCCTTATGCGCCTCCCATAGGGGCACAGCCGAAGAGACCGATCTCGAGTTTTCCGTGAAGTATGTTCGTAAGAAAAATTCTATTTTTGTTGGCAGGTAGTCTGAGTGGTCAATAAAGAGTCATTGATGCGCCAATGAAATGGTGCTGTTCTGACCAGAAAGGGCCAGGAGGAGTACCAAGGGATCATGGTCCGACCAGGTGAGGAGGTAATAGTTATCCGCCGAACCAAGGGAAGCTGCTAACCATACATGAATATATGGTCAATTCTACAAAAAACTGTCATGAGGATTGGAATAGAATGTAAAGTCGTGCACTCGGTTGGGTGAAGTTCCCTCCAGACGTCCGCCAGCCCCGCCATCCGCAAGAGAGAGCGCATACGTTCCTCCAACGCCAAGTCATGAGAAGGGGTCGACCCCCCGTGCGTAGCGCCTATCCAATGTGGAATCCAAGGTAAGATTTGAATCCCCCAAAACAAGAAGAAGACCCTTACAATGTCGGGAAACAATGGTGCAAAGATGCGAAAAGAATTTATGCTGAAAACGATTAGGCGCGTAGTAAGAGACAAAAGTAACCTCCTGGTCCAAGAGGGGTGCCTTGCTGAAGCAGATACCTGCCTGTGGGGTCCGCTATATTCCTAGCACAGACAAAAGGGAGATTGCGTTTAAAAGCTATCAGTACTCCCCGACGCTTCTCAGGAGCCGAGGCCGTGTAAAAGGTGGGATAGTGAGGTGAAAGATAACGCGGAGCAGAGGACTGAGAAAACCTGGTCTCTTGTAAACATACCACATCAATTTGTTGCGATTTGAGGTGATGAAAAACTTTAGCCCGCTTCTGAGGCAAATTAAAACCTTGTACATTTCGTGAATGTATTTTCAAAATGGGCGAGGCCATGGCGGCATCAGAGCAACACGCTCAGCAAAAAAAAAAAAAAAAGCCTAAAGAAGCCAGCAATTTCCACTTCCAATGGCGATCGGACCGTGGCGTCCCGGAACCCTGCATAAAACAAAAACGAAAAAGAACAGAGAAGAAAAAAAAAACAAAGAAAGAAAAAGGAAAAAGACACCAAAAATATGTACAACAGTGCAATCGTGTCACGCCAATGGTGACATGCATCCTACATGTGAAGGATACCAGTTAGGGGTGGCTCTACCACCGGACACATGGCTGCAAATGGAAACATCAAAAACATAAGCCCTCAGGGGGCAAAAAAGGCAGTAAGGCAACGTACATAATAAAACGGGGTACCAAAATAATAAAACTAAAAGTCCCAGGAGCGGGAACCTCCGTGATGACCTCCCCATAGAAATCCGGAGAACCATAGGGGCCAACCTCCTCCCACCCAACCAGGCCTACCGGGTCAACCTCCCACCCGGGAACCCAAGGGAACCAACACCCAATGCCACCAACGGAGACCCGAATATCATCACCCGGGCCCAAAATAGGCTACGGCAGCAGAAAGTCATGAGTCTTAAGTCCAGGAAGAGATCCCCCCCCCAACCAGGGATAGAACCCAAGGGAGAAAGCTGGAGCAGTCCCAACCTGGAATGACAACAAACTGGGAAAGCCCAAAGGGCCAAACTCACGGTCCCGTCAGAAAAGTCCCACGATACGTGGGAGGTCCAAACCGCATCTTCAGCCTGGAGAAGAACAGAAAGGACTTGATCGCAAAGGGGTCTGAGGGAGGGCCCTCTTCCTGTTGGACGACCGCTCCCAGATGTGGCCCAGAGGAAGCGGCCTCGCCGGGGATCCAGAGGAATGAGCTTGATCAGCAGCATCCGGTGAAAGAAGGTGTAACGATTCCAGGAGAGAATGGGCTTCCTCCGGCGTAGTCACAGAGCGACTGCGGCCCTTATAGGTGAAGGTGAGGCAGAACGGAAAGCCCCAGTATGACACCCTCCCAGAATGAGAGAGCCGCCGCCCACATGTGTTATTTCCTCAGGGAGGCGGTTCGAATTGTGTACACCAATGAGATGGCGGCAAACTTCAGGACCCGATATTTTTTCAGAGATGATCCTTTAAAAGCCCCTACAGGTCATCAGTTTAGGGTTACCTATGAATAATGGGCCTAGAACTACTGAACACCCTCCGATGTGTGCGCAGATTTGTAAAGTGAAGCGCAAACAACTTCTGCATGTAGGCGCCACCCCCGACATGTGCATTTACTCTCCCCCGGTCACATCAAACCCTACTTACAAACCAAAAATCTCTGAAAATTTGGGGGAAAAAAGTTTTTTCTTAGTTTTTGTTATAAAATTTTGTAAATAAGTGATTTTTCTCCTTCACTGATGTGCGCTAATGAGGCTGCAGTGATGGACACTGATAGGTGGCACTGATGGGCACTGATGAGGAGACACTGGTAGGTGACACTGATGGGCATTGACAGGCATCACTGATGGGCACTGAAAGGCAGCACTGATAGGTTGCACTGATAGGCAGCACTGATGAGCACTGATAGGCGGCACTGACTGGCACTGATAGGCGGCACTGATAGGCAGCACTGACGGGCACTGATAGGCGGCACGGACTGGCACTGATAGGCGGCACTGACTGGCACTGATAGGTGGCACTGTTTGGCAGCACTGATAGGTGGAAATGATTGGCATTGATAGGTGACACTGGCTGGCACTGATAGGTGACACTGAAAGGCAGCTCAAATTAAGAAATTTAAAAAAAAAATTCACTTACCCATATGAATTTTTTTAGCATTTTTTGAGACGGATAAAAGCTTTATTTTGGTGGTATTTGTTCACCACTGGGATTTTTATTTTTGTTTTGCTATGTAAATTAAAAAGTTCAAACATTTTGAAAAAAAATATTATTTCATCATAAATCTTTTGCCAAAATGTATTCCGTTATATGTTTAGAAAAAAAAAAATAACCCAAATTAGCTTTTATAATAATTTTTAAACACTTTTTTTACATTTTTTTTTTTTTTTTTATATTATTAATTGATTTATTTATTACATACTGTCACCCTAGCAGTACAGTGTCACCAGTACAGTGTCACTGTACTACTTGTGGGGGGGTGAAGATTTTTTTCTTTTTTAAACTGATTGCTTTTACACCCAAAAAGGCTGTAAAAGCAATAATTTCTCCTTCTCTCTAGCTGCATTCTTGCAGCCATTGATAAATACTGTGAGAGCCGTGATTGCTCACAGCTTGTCACATGGTACAAGGCTGTTGTTAATAGCCTTGTACCATGTGACCTCTGTGATCATTCACAGATTTCACATGTAGTAAGCAATGATGTCACAAGTGACATCTTGCTTACTACTCTGCATGTGATCACTGATTGGTTAATCAGTGATCACATGATCGGGACCTCGCACGGAGGTCCCGTCCGATGATCGGTGTTTCACTGTGTCCGGAGGACACAGTGGGCACCGGATCACGGTGCTGTGCGCTCCCAGGGAGTGCGCACAAGCAGGGGGCCAGGAAAGTCGTTTATAAACGGCCACCCGACCCTGCACTGCCACCGTCCGGACGTTTATATACAACGGCCAAATGGGAGGTGGTTATTCACCGCTGCGGTTTTTATCCCTTGCTAAATTAACAAAAAAAGACCAAAAATGTGGAAAAAAAAAAAACGTTTTTCTTTGTTTCTGTTATAAAAGTTTGCAAATAAATAATTGTTCTCCATACATTTAGGCCGAGATGTATTCTGCTACATGTCTTTGGTGAAAATAACCCAAATTAGGATGTATTTTTTAGTTTGTAGGAAAGTTCTAGAGTTCACAAACTATGGGATAGATCTGAAAATTGATCAATCCTGAAGTACTGACAGCCAATCTAATTTCTTGAGGTCCAAGAATATCAGAACAGTACAGATATCCCCCAAATGACCCCTTAGTAGACAGTCCGACGTATTTCATAAGAGGCATGGCGAGTTTTTTGAAGTTGTATTTTTTTTTCATAATTTTTCGGAAAATGAAAAAATGCAAAAAATTATTTTCACAATTTTCACAAAGTTCAGTGCAAGGTAGAGTAAAAGTGGGCCAGTGATAGTAATTTGGGGGTAAAACTGCTGCTCAGAGTTGGTAAGGATATGGTATGAACTTGATCCATGCTTTTGTGTTCACCCCACTTGACTAGAGATGAGCGAATTATTCAAAAATTCGGTTCGGCTGATTCGCCGAATTCGCTGAATAAATTCGCTTGGAGCCGAATATATTCGCTGCGAATTTAACTTATAAAAAGGGTGTTTCTAGGCTTCAGAGAGCCTTTATATTAGTGCAGAACACTGTACCTTTAATTTAAATGCCCTTGGAGTCTGCTGGGGAAGAGAAATAATACTGTCAGTCAGTATGACATGCAGATGAGTGCCGTCGATCTTAGAATCACCGCACACTTCACTCATTTGGGCAGTCACGGGGCCAAAACCAGAGTGTGGAGCCACAGTGTGGCGGTGGAGGCAGCAGCAATGGGAGGCCATACAGCACCCTATGACAAAATGGAACCCACCAGCAGTGTGAGGAGACCTGAAAGTGGCACATGGCAGAGTGTGGCGATGGAGACAGCAGCAATGGGAGGCCGTACAGGGACCCATGACACACTCTGGACCTGGCAGCAGCATGAGGAGGCAGTACAGGGGCCCATGACAGATTACGGGCCTGGCAGCAGCATGAGGAGTCGGTACGGGGGCCCATGGCAGATTACGGGCCTGGCAGCAGCATGAGGAGGCGGCACAGGGGCCCATGGCAGAGTGGCGGAGCGTAAGCAGCTAAAATTGAAGGCCATACAGAGGCCTATGTTAAAAAGTCCCCCCAGCAGCAGCGTGGGGAGACGACTATCAAGAGTCCAATGGCAGAGTGGCGGAGCAGAAGCAGCTTCAATTGAAGGCCATACACAGGCCTAGGTTAAAAAGTCCCTCACAGTTAATTCCAATAACGAACTCTACTCCTCCGTGCAATCTACTTACGAGACCCTGGGCAGGTCTGGGTCCAATTTGTGGTAGAGACTGGTTTTGTTCAGCCATGCTTGAGCGAGTAATAACAGGTCTGTGCTGCCCTTTGGTGTCTGGCTTAATGCGCACAACACTGAACGTCCCAGCGTTTGTCAACGATTTGCCGTTAAGTGATGCAAACCCGCTGAACCACGTTCATGAGGAGCCGGTACAGGGGGCCAAAAAATATTACCGCCAGCCGGCGTGTAAATGGATTTAACTCTTTGAACGTACAATAGTGGTTGTGAAGCAGAAAGTCAGTTTATTTAGCACAATCGGTCAATTGCAGCTTGCCGTTGGCTGGAAACTGTACGTTTATGTCACTGGAATGCACTAATCACCCAAAAAATATTACCGCCAGCCGGCGTGTAAATGGATCTAACTCTTTGAACGTACAATAGTGGTTGTGAAGCAGAAAGTCAGTTTATTGTACACAATCGGTCAATTGCAGCTTGCCGTTGGCTGGAAACTGTACGTTTCTGTCACTGGAATGCACTAATCACCCAAAAAATATTACCGCCAGCCGGCGTGTAAATGGATTTAACTCTTTGAACGTACAATAGTGGTTGTGAAGCAGAAAGTCAGTTTATTTTGCACAATCGGCAAACTGCAGCACCAACTGTGCACGACAGCCACCAAAAAAAAAAAGGGTGTATGTCACTTTAAATTTTCAATTCTTTGATAGCTGTGGCCCTAAGTAACGATTCTGTGTCCCTGAGTAACGATTCTGTGTCCCTGAGTAACGATTCTGTGGCCCTAAAGTCTCTGTGGCCCTAACTCTGTCCCTTAATACACACAGGTCTGTCTCTCTTGAATGACCGTAGGCTAATGGAGAATTCTAAGATGGCCGCGATTTATAGCTCCACCATTACACAGTGCTGGCTGGCTGCTGATTGGCTAATGCGATCACATGTCATGAATGCATTATGGGTCAGCGCGCCTTGTCTGCGCGCCTTCCCAGAGATCCCCGCCCCATCTTCTCTGTCCATTTTCTCCGTCGCCACACATGTCGCCGCCATTTTTGGGAAAATTCGATTCGTGCATCCGAAGTTTGCTAATCTTCGGATTCGTCGCGAATCGAATTTTTCCAAATCTTCGGAACGAATTCCAATTCGTCATGTTCGATTCGCTCATCTCTAGACTTGACCATTGCATTGTTCTACTCACTGGTGTACCTATATGCACTATTATTCGACTTTAATATGTGCAGAATTCTGTAGGCAGAATCCTCACTAGGTCTGGTACAAGTGATCATACTACCCCTATCCTGGAGTCCTTGCACTGGCTACCTGTTAAGTTTTGCACTGTTTACCTGCTTTGTCATACATTTACAATTCATTTGTTTAACCTACCACCAAGTAAGTCTGTGAACTAATTATTGTGCATTATTGTTGTGGTGACTGCACAATACTATAGTTATCTAGGTGTAAGAGTCATGGCAAAACAGAGGACCTGTCATCACCAGCGGCTCCAGAGGGGGCAAACGTTTTATTTATTTATATATATATATATATATATATATATATATATACTGTATATGTATATATATATATATATTTGTCAATCAAAAATTGGAGTAGGTAACTCCTGCTCCTGTTGTGTTGCAAATCTTATCTGTTGAAGATCTCATTAACGATGGGCTCCCATGATTCTTCCTTATAAAACAAATGAGAACGAGATCTCCAAGTTGCAAAAATTCTTTTACTTCAAGTGTATCTTCAGTTTAGTATCTTCAAATTAGTAGAATTTTGTAGAATTGTAGCTAGAATTTTTGCACCTTGGGGATCTCCTTCTCATTTGTTTGTTATATATATATATATATATACACATTAGCAAGTTGGTAAGTGAAATTGCTCAACACCAAATTGCATGGTACTTTGTTACCCTGCATTTTGCCATGCAATTTCTCACACATTTTAGCAAGGTGCATTGGGTTGCCATTAACAATTTATGGCACCACAGCGCACGGCTAAAAAAGTATTTGTGTTTCTTGTGCGTTGTGAGAATGTGTGCAGTTTTGAGTGTGTTCCTGTCTCACACGTGTTGCTAAAATCAGAACTTTTTTTTGTTTTGAATAGAGTATGGGAGGGTTTTAAATTCATTTTTTTTCTTTGGCTATCTATGTCCCACTGGGGAAATTTCCCTTCACTTCTTATCTGAAAGCTAAAACAGGAAGTGAGAGGAAATCCTTGCAAAGTGAGGGAATCTCAGGGTGTCACCAGGGTACCCAGTAATAGTGTTCTCCTTGGCAGATATCCCCTATATTCCTGTTCTGATATCAACCCAAAATTCAGGATTTTTCTTTTACTTCCACTGATAATGGTAAACAGGACAAATATAGAGGATGAATCTCCCTACCGGGGGACCATACAGCAATAACACCTGGCAAGTGTTCCAATCCCTCTCCACTCATTCAAAAAAAAAAAAAAGAAAACAAAAAAAAAATAAGGCTTTAGTGACACTTTAAGAACTTTAAGGACATTTTCAGGACTATAATTAGAAAGATATGCAAGTGGTTAACTCCGTCTCCTTGAATTTTTTTTTTAGTTTTGGATAGAGTTTTAGGAATTAGAACCTATGTCAGGTTTTTATTGATGTCTGTGCCCGTTTGGGAAATTCACTCTATCTAGCTGGTGCCATTACTGATCACATGTGCAGCACAATGGCAACTGCAGGTCAAACAGAGGCTCAGATAGCAGCTTCCTGGGCCGTATAGGATGTGAGGCCTTACCCTAGGTTCACACCTAAGCGTTTTCTGCAGCGTTTTGCAGAAACGCACCACAGTCCATTTAACATGATTTCCTATGGGACATGTTCACATCTCCATGTTTTCACCCGGTGTGTTTTTTGGAAAGGTTCAGGGACTTTTTTAAAACGCTAAAGGCTAGTTCATATTAGATGCAGTCCAGTGCGTTTTTTTTTCTGCATCAAAAATGCATGCACAGTGTTTTCCATGTTTTCCAATGGCCTTAGTTCACACCAGTGCAGTCAGTTTCAGTCAGTTTCCAGTGCAGGAAAAAAAAAATCGAACATGCTGTATTTTTTCTACACAGAACCATACTGAAACATGGCAAACTGCATTAAAACCGCACCGGAACTGCGTTTGTGGTGAACTGTAAGCAAAAACATATCCGGAATGTATCTGGAGTGCATTTTTGTAGTGTGACCTGGCCCTTAACCTCCCTGGCGGTAATACCGAGTGTAGCTCGGGGTAAAGTTTCAGTACCACAAGCGGTAACCCCAAGCTACACTCGGGCTTAGCATGCAGCGCTGCTCCGGGATCCCTCGATCACTTACCTTGTCCTGTGCTCCCGCGATGTCCCTCCTGCAGTGTCCCCTGTAATGTAATCTGGCGGATGCCGCCATCTGTCATCTGGGTTCCATCCCCTGCGAGCGTCGGGACGTACGGGGGACAGAACAGCGGGAAATTTGAAAATGACAAAAAGTGACATTCACTGAATACACTAAAATCACATAGTATAACATTACTGTATCAAACCATTTCACATACATTTTGTCTCTACTGCTTTGTCCTGTGCCCTGCCTGCATTTTTACTGTTCTTTCTGCCTGGAACCTGAGAAATGACCATGGCATCCAAAAAGCGTCCCTTTATGTCAAAAGCGGTTTTAGACCAGCTAGAGAACAGTGATAGTAAATCAGAACCACTTGCAGAATTGAGTGATAATGATTTGTGGGGAAATTCGTCATCAGACACTGAAAACGATTTTGCGACTTTGCTCAGTGATGTGCGAAGTTGGCGCTATATTTCAAATTTCAGTGTTTTTGGTTTGATTATATTATTGAATTAAATTTATTATTATATTATTATTTTTATGATTATCTATTAAATTATAATTTATGATTTTGTGTTTCAAGTTTTATCCTACCCGGGATGTTTACTAGACTCTTGTTCGGACAGATTTCAGTAAGTTATTCCTAAGAATTACAGGCCTACAATAAAAAAAAATACATATTTCCATGCAAAAAAATGTACCGCTTTGAGCACAGAAATATGTACATAATCAGACCGCTAGGGAAGTTAAAGCTGTGTTTATGGTTCTATAGACTTCAATGCAAACACTGCAGAAAAGCATGTAGTGTGCTTTTGCTGCCTTTTTAATGCTATTTTGCAGCATTTTTGATGCATTTTGCATTTTAAATCTGCTTAGCAAAAAAAAAAAATTGCAAAATGCATCACAAACGCGGCAAAAATTTTGTGAAAAATGGACTGCAAAAAGCACTGCAGGAACAGATCAAATGCAAACTGAATAGGTGTGAACCTAGCCTTAGTCCTGCTTTAAGCTGATGTGAAGATTCCATCAGTTTCTGAGACACAGACAAGATGCAGATGAGGAGTTTTGATGTCCCTCTCACTTCACTAGTTACATGTGTGTTCTAAGTCTGAGGACAGACACTGCCAGGCAAATAGCATTTTTAGAAGGAGCTGTGCATAGTAGCCTCATACTTCTCTGAGCACAGCTTTCAAGAGAGCCATAGCTGTCATGCACTACAAAGATCTACCACTGGAGGGCATTAAAAGACTGTGTTTATTAGGACATTGGATGTTCTTATGTACTTACACTATACAAGATACAAATCAATATATTGCTTTTTTTTAATGGGAAATATTGATTTGAATACCATCATGTATTTAATCAGTTGCTCATTTATGCCATATTTCAACAACAAATAATCCAGTATAATTTGTAGTTCAGATAGATTTCATCCCTCTAAAGAGACGTACTTTTGTGTTACTTTTTTTTTTTTGGTCTGGGGCTGACAATCTGCATTTCTAACCTGTCCATTGAAATCGTATCCAAGTCAAACTTTGATAAAACATACGATGTAGACAATTTTATGAGTGAAAGACAAAATGCGCCAGAGGGAAAATATCTGTCTCCATGTTCAATTCTTTTGGATGTTCTTCCAAATCTATATGACCATACTAGTTCACTTAGCTCTATGAACCATGTACATACCTTCTGCTCGCCCCCTTCCTCCTCTCACAATGTAGCACTTGCAGTCTGAACAGCCAATCACCAGGCTTGTGGGCGGCAGGGGGACTAGTAGGTTACACTGGAATTTCAGGAAAGCGGTAAAATCTGGTGGTTGAGCTGAAATTTTACCACCCCCCTCTATTGCCTGCCTAAATAAGAGCTTTTGGCCATTTAGGGCTGTACGTATGTCACTGCCACAATGCTTTGCTTCATGGCAAAAATTAAACAGCAGAGTACCCAGAGGAAACCCTCGCAGGCACAGGGAGAACATGCAAACTCCAGGCAGCTGGTGCCGTGGTTGAGATTCGTTTAGCCACTGTGCTATCTTAAAGTGTTACTAAACCCAGGAACAGGAGCGGACTGACAACTCATGGGTCCCCCGGGCAATAGGGGCTCATGGGGCCCCTGTGTCCTTGCCCAAACTCAAAAAAGCCTATGGAAAAGGTACCAGGGGCATCTCATGGGGCCCCCTACTGACCCCGGGCCCTTGGGCAGTGCCCGAGTTTCCAAATGGTCAGTCCGACCCTGCATTCACTATATCTGGCCTCTCACAGTACACAGTACATGGAAGTGCAATTACCGTATTTTCCGGCGTATAAGGCGACTGGGTGTATATAAGACGACCCCCTAATTTTCCAGTTAAAACATACGTTTTGGGCTATACTCGCCGTATAAGACTACCCCCCTTCCGAGGCAACACCATTTAAAAACATCAGATTTTTAAATTAAAATGGTTATGACTTACCGGTACTTAAAATCCTTCAAAATCCCCATGTTCATCCTCTGACACCATAAGTTCATGAATGACATCTTGTGATACATCTGCAAGACAGTCATCATATGGATCAAATTCCAAATCAGATGGTTACTGCTGGATGTGCGGTAATACGGTAGTTTCGGTACAGTTTCGGCTGGACAGTAATACAGTATACAGTATATATACAGCCCGCTGGATGTGCAGTAATGTACATACAGTATATACCGCGCTGAGCCAAGCTGGCTCAAAACAAATGTCCCTATGACAGATTAATCTGTCAGCCCGCTGGATGTGTGGTATATACTGTATACTGAGCCAAGCTGTTTCAAAACGTACCGGTACGTCCCTATGGTAATCAGACCGCTGGATGTGTGTATGTACAGTGGCTGAAGCTACATACAGTATACGCTGGGCCAATCACGGCGAGCGATGTATTCTATTAATGAATACAAAGCCTGCTCGGATTGGCTGAGGTTGTGACATCATCAGCCCACCTCTCTGACTCAGCCAATCCGAGCAGGCTTTGTATTCATTAGTAGAATACATCACTCGCCGTGATTGGCCCAGTGTATACTGTATGTAGCCGCAGCTACCGTACATACACGCATCCAGTGGGCTGATTACAGTAGGGACGTACCGGTACATTTTGAAACCGCTTGGCTCAGCGCAGTATACTGTATATACCGCACAGCTGGCTGACAGATTAATCTGTCATAGGGACATTTGTTTAGAGCCAGCTTGGCTCAGCGCGGTATACTGTATGTACAGTATTACCACACATCCAGCCAGCTTGACCCAAACAAACTCAAGGTTCACATTTTATACCCCGCGTATAAGACGACCCCCAATTTTTGGGGTATATTTTTAAGTATAAAAAGTAGTCTTATACGCCAGAAAATACTGTATTTTAGTAAATATAAACTGATAAATACCTTTTTTTTCATCATCAGTTAGAGCAGTCTTGTGACTTCTATCTGTGTCCAGCCGAGCACTGGTTAAAGCGTGTAGGAGGAGTTTTAATTTTGCTGAGGATGCAGGACCCCTGACTTCTGTCTGGACAGTGCTGATTGGCCCAGTGCTGTTCACATGCACTCTCCCAAGAAAAAAAAACCTCTCCAGCAATACACACCAAACTTAGCATGTGCAAAGTGTATCCACATGATACGTCTTATCAGGAGATAAGAGGGGGGCACTAAAAGAAGGGGAGGATCAGAGAAGTTGGGATCAAACAGCCTTTTTACACAAAGCAGAGGATTAACCCTTTAGGTTCCACAGTGAGTATAACAAGCATGCTTTACTACATATACAGACTGATTTTACTGTTGTGGGTTTAGCAACACTTTAAATGAACAGGGCTGTGCTGTGACTGCCTTGCAACTGCAACGTGGTTGTGTCATGGTGGTGAGGCCTTTTGAGAGTGAAAACAGGCAGTAAGGACAGAGTGTATCACTTCCTCACGGTCTATCAAATGCCATCTGAAAAGCAATCCACCAGAGATCGCTTTTTAGAGTAGTGGTTATGTTATTCACACATGGCAACGGGCCCTAAAACTTCAGAGCAAAGCTCACTATTTGAATGCTGTTGGCTATAAAGTGTATTAAGGAAAACTAGGCATCAAAAAAATATTGAGGCTGCTATTGCTGGCCTGTTTGTGAGACTGCTACTTACCTGGCTGTCATGCTAATCTCCTAACTTTAATACCTTTTGAGACATTGACCTGGAATATGCATGAAGCCATTGAAGTCAGCGTGAAGCAAGAATGTATTATTTACTCACATATTCTGGGGCGGTGTGTAAGCAGGCTAGTTTGTCGCTAAGTGGTTCTAACACAAAATAGTGTGGCAATGGAGAATTATGGAAGTGGGTGTTAGGTCCTCTTTCAGAGAATGTCTTCTTACTGTGATGTGCAAGGATAGTGCCCATATATATGTCAGTGCTGGGAGGAGCCTAGTGAGTTGGGGAATGGGAGCCAAACACCCCAGAATGAGTCAGATGCAGTCAGCTACTGCCAATGGCCATTAGCAGGGCCGAAGCCCCGAGTAAGGTAGTTCCATCACCCAGTAGGAACAGCTGTAGTCACCCTGACTCTGTAACGATTGACTGTGGAGCTGGATGCAAAAGGCCAATTAGGTCAGGCTAAGTCCTCATGAACACTGGACATTTTTACAGCTGCTGTTTTTGGCTTTTGACATTTTTTCCCACATCCAGTAAACCCCCCCCCAACATGTTATCCTATGTGTCCATGCACACATAGACTGACTGTAGTCAACGTTTTTTGGCTGGGACTTGTTTTTTGGCTGGAAAAAAAACAGAACTAGTGGGTTTCTAAAAGAGAAAATGCCACCACGGAAAAACACTGCTAAACACGGCAAAACGCAGCTAAACGCTAATACAAAAACACTGAAAAATCTGAAAAACTCACATTTTTAACGTGACTTTACACAGCTACAAACGTTACCAGCGTTATTAAAATGTCCCGTGTGCATGGAGACTCAGTGTTCTCTGATGTGAGTATTACTACACCTGGGAGAGAGAGTAAGATTTGGGAGTGTGTCCGACTGGGAAGAGTCATAGTATAGGAACTTTGACAGAAGCGGAATGCTGTGAAATCTAACATACAGTATATTGAGTTGGGTCCCATCAATGTGGTGCTCCTAAGGAAAGTAAAGGGAAGATGGCTTTATAATGATGTGCTGGCATTCTGGGCTTGAGTGACTGCTACAAAAGGTTTGCCCTTGGGTATGGTGACATATGCCGAAGAGTTTTATCATTATGTCAATGTGATATTTGATGGCACGGCCATCTTTGTCATCTATAGTAAACTGTGGAAAGTATACTTCTTGTGGACATTCCTTTCTTATTGAATATAAAAGCTCACGGCTGGGGGCAGGCCTTTGGCCATTAATTGAGCATGATATGGAGAAGTATATCTTATATTAGTGCCACACATATATCTCCATATACTGTACACAATCTACTAGGTGCATCAAAAAACATGTGCCTTAAACACTTGTGAATACAATGACCACAACTTTTAGTCCTTCATATGTGATTTTATCCATGCATATATAACTTTGTGCCCAACAGGTGCTCCTTTTTCCTTGTGTCCACATATATTCTTAGAGGTTCTCCTCCACCAGAGACATACATATATACTCTCACCTCCTTATATGACCCAAATTGCATAGGTCAAATAGCACCTTTCCCTTTTAACCCGGGTAGCTTATACTGTATGGATGGCTCCACTTTCCTCCTCACTCTGCTGCAAATGGTCCCGTCTCCTCTTTATCCCACATATCCTCCGCATATGAAAACAAACAAAACGCTTGCTATAGTGTAGTATATAAATATAGCGTTATTTCTTAAAAAAACAAAGTGCACTCACATTTAAAAGTGTCCTGCTTGGACACCACAGTAAAAATGGCTGTCCCAATATAACTCCAATGCATTCAGGAAATTCCAAGATGGTGGCTCGTAAACTTCCGGTTTAGCAGCTTGACGTCATTGGCCCACCCTACGCGTTACGTCACATGACTTCCTCAGGAGAGGACACATGATATGGAGAAGACTTCTATCTACAAGCAGTGGGCCACTGTCCAGTCCAAGAAGAAGTGAAGCAAGGTTTCTAGTAATTTGATGCCAACACACAGCCAATCATGGTCCCCCTTATAAGTGATTAAAACAAAGCCATTGGATCAGAATAACAGCCAGGCAGCTAGAATTTTCAGGATAGGTTAGCAATTAAAGCTCCAGATTTATTTGATTACAGGTTCCCACCAAGAGAAACAAATGGAGGTTGCTATTGCTGAGCTTTGTTTTTGTCGAAAATGCTGGATGCCTGGCTGTGATGCTGACCCTTTTGTGTAAATGTGCTGAGCTGCAGCAAGTCCTAGATAGTAAGCTCCAAGGAGCAGGGCCCTCGTAACCCTCTTGTATTGAACTGTATGGTTGCTGTATTGTCTCCTGTCATATTGTAAAGTGCTGAGCAAACTGTTGGCGCTATATAAATCCTGTATAATAATGATAAAAAATTCTGATTACATTCTAATGTTTCTGATCTACATGCTTGTCACAAATCAGTGACACAGAAAATATGTTATCTGGAGGGTAAGAATGTGGGCATTAGATGTCAAAACCCCCCATCATATCTATCCCATGACAGATCTATTTAAAGTAACAAAAATGAAAAGGTGAACATTGTACATTCTAACTCAACCTCTTTCTAATGCCATCTTGTGACTTCTATCAGTGTCCACTGGTTAAAGCTTGCAGGAGGAATTTTCATTCTCCCCTGATTGATCTATGAGGCTGTATAACCCCTAACCTCTGTCTGGATAGCACTGATTGGCCCTGTGCTGATCACATGCACTCTCCCAAGAAAAACAAACTTTCTAGCAATACACATCAAACTGAGCATGTGCACCTTGCCCCCAAGGCTATGTACTATCAGCAGATGGATTGGGGACTGTGGAAGAAGGGGAGGATCAGAGAAGACAGGAATCAAACATTCCTTTTTGTGCAATGCAGAGGGTTAACCCCTTATGTTCCAGTGAGTATAACAAGCATGCTTTACTACTGCATATACAGACTGATTTTACTGTTGTGGGTTCAGTAACACTTTCATAGCAGCACAGGTTTAGGGAATACAGTCAAGGAAATCTCTTTTGTATAATGGAAAGGAGGCTTTTATCTCTTCAGTTATGTCATACGTAAGAGGAGTGACAGCACACAGGTACTCAAATTCTTCCTCATATATCTGATTGTTGGTGACATGGATCTCCACTGGGGAATGCAGATAGTTG